ATTTGTACATGGTTTTGCACGTAAATGATTCGGTGAAAAGATAATAATTCATAATACTACATGACGTGATCGATAAATGAAATTTTTATATTGCAACAATATTATTCATGATCAATTAGACAGTTCTTGAAATGTTATTAAAAAACAAATATCTAAGTAGTATTGTTTTAGATGGTTTGAAATACTCGACGTACTAATGTTAGTAATACTATTAACTATATGTAATTTGTTGGTAATTGTATTTTGATGATGAAAATGAAATTTAAAAAATAATGAAARTAGTTTTRATTTTATAATGCAATTATAATAATTTAMACGTATGTATTAATTAGTATGAGTTGTAACGTAGACTAGGTATGTTATTTTCATTATTGTTCGTATACATATAAAATGAAAATGTTTATATACAACATGCAGCTAGCAAGCCTAAATCCAAAACCGCACGCCAAGGATTTGCGTAAGTGCGTTCGGTAAAATGAACGTTTTTTCTCTCATAAAATACAGTGATATTCAAACGTTGCGTGTCATGCAATCTATCTAACATGCTTTGAACATGCAATTTTAATTGACCGTGCACCATTTGTCGGCTAGCACGGAACATCCATAGTACAATAATATATATTATAATGAAAGCTAAATGGTGTGAAAACGTTTAATAAAATAATAATATGAATACCGAGGGGAAAACATATTAAATATTYTATCGTTGATTGTTATATGTAATTATGGTTATCTAAATATTTTCACCAGTCTAATTCTAWTCCACATTTACGTAGCCAGGTGGGAGGGGTTATCGCCGGAAGGGATTGTGGGCGTTGAAAACTGTACGACCTCAGTTTTAACTCTAACAACGTTCGTTTTACTTTTTGGACTTATGTCTAAATGATTTTATCATCGTGTTATATATATTTACAATGATATATTTGCGTCCAAGGAAATTCACATYAGYATCATAAGGTTTTTTTATCACTACAGTTCAGTCAGACAGTACAGTTAGTAGTGCAGTAATCRAGTGTAAAGCAACCTTAAGAAATAACGGTTATCGTCTTTCCGTTCACATTCATAAATATTTAGTTTAAGTTCTAAATAAATTCATTAATTCATATTATA